ATTTAAGCAACTCAAGATCAGTTTATGCGCATAGAAAAACAGTTAGGGTTTTAGCAAACTATCAATATGATTCAAGCAACCTATGAATCTAGCATTCGACCTCAATGTCATAAGCAATCAGATAGTCCATATTAACATGCTAAAACAAATTTAAACAAAGAAAAAATCAAAGTCACAGCTAGGGTTTATGCAAATCGGATTTTAGGTTCATGCGCAAATTAGGGTTTAGGTTAAACAACTTTCTAAACCTCAGATCTAATTAATTCAATGATCAAACAAACACATAGTCCCAGGGTGATCAATTTCAACAAGAGATTAATAGATCTAGTGCAGCAAAAACGAATTGGATCAATCAAAAACAACCAATAACAAATCGATCCTAGAGAGAGACAAAACAAGCCGGTTTTATGTCTTAGCTATCTAGGGTTTTAGATTATCAATTTGCTCAAACTCAAAACACGAAATCTATCAAGGTGAATTCCTAAAGCATTCAACATAATTAACTTGATAAAAATAAGCAAGCAAAACGGATCAAGCAAGCAAAGATTTCGAGTTCATCAATTAGGGTTTTAGTTTAACTTTTGTTCATGAATACAAGTTTGTATCCATGTACATAGTTAGGCTTTTAGGGGATCAATTATTGTTCTTTAAACTCACCAAAACATCATAGGTTAAAGGGGGGTCGAAACTCATGTTCAAGAGGTTAAGTTTCATACCTCAAATCTCCTTGTTTTTGAATGGACCTCCATTAGGGCAAAACCGGTTTGGATCTTTAGGGGAGAGAGAGATCAAATCACTTTAATCTTTTAGCTAAGGCTTTACACCTGCAAAAGAATAGTTAGCAAGGGATTTCTTCTTCAAAATAACTTAATAAATTAAGGAAGAAATAAGGTGAAAGTCGTTTGAGTAAGAGAGAAGTTTCTAGGGTTTCCCGGATTGGAGAAACAGAAATTTAGCCGCCGTCTTGTTTTCGTGATTCCGGTTGATTCCGGTTTCTGATTGACGCGCCGTTTGATCTGCTGGATTCCTCTCTTCCACAGCTTCAGTTTGGTATGTAGATCGTCGTCTGGGTACACAGGGTTTGGGAGATACATCGCTTTGAAGTCGCTGCAGGGATTAGGGTTTTCTGCAGCCGCCTAGAGAGAGAGAGAGNGTGCTGATAACGTGTTAAAGAATAAAGAAGGTTGTAACTCTCATTGTATTATTAATCACGTGGTTACACATATATATATACATACAAGAGAATAAAGCATATTCCTTAGGAGATAAGGATTGCTACAAATAAAGGGGATGATTATCCTAATCCTATAATGATTAGGATAACTACAACATATGGATAAATACAAGGAGCTTGAGTGTGGATAAGGATAAGGTCTTGGCCGCCTGGTTTAGTGACTGAAGTAGACTGATGTGGTCTGGTCCATTTCTCGGATATGGCTAACCACCATTTCCTCCATTTCTTAACATGTCCTACGTTATACGCATTATTGCCCACTATATTGTCACCGATTTATTAGGCGTGAACTGACTTTAGTCAATCAACTGATGTATCATATACAGTCTTGCTTTTGCAATATGAATTAATATACACACATATATTATGTATAGAAAAACTATAGCATTGTGTTGTCAAAAAAAAAAAGAAAAACTATAACATAGTGGAGGATTTTAAATGATATCAAATGACAATAAATCATCATAAACAAGATTGTACGTTTAAAATAAAAACAAAATAGAGTGGATGCAATGTGATTATCGAAGAGAGGTCCTACATGTGGTTAAAAGAAACAGACATTAATCCACAAGTGAAGAGTTCTTCGTCAGAGGTTGTTGTTTTCATTGCCATGTGACTATTAAAGTTGCATTTAGACTGTCCTTTCTAATCTAATCTTGTCATGTGGCTATTATTATTTCACAAATTTATCACCATTATGTGAATCAACAGTTAACCATAACTTAATCTAATCGGTTACCAACTCTGAGAATATGATCAGATTAGTGCATATAATCTAACACTTGTTAACTGACATTTTCACTTGTATCTTTTGTAAAGACTTTGGCAAAAAAAGAAAACACACTTTTGTAATGATATGTGACCATGTGGGTGATAGGGATAATTAGTGAAAATTAATTATTATCTTGGATTTACTGAATTATAACTCAAAGATTCTGTGGAGTTTGCTTTGGGTGGGGTCTGTATCGAGTTGATGTTTACATTAATAAAGTGATAATAAGCATATAATAATGCTAATCATTGCAATTAACAATCAATATTTCCCACAAATTAAGATGTAAACGATGCGGAAATCATGTTGTTATGCAACATAATTACCTTACTAATCCCTCAGATTATCCTAATACGTCACATCGATTAAGATTTGTATGTAGATACCAAAATCATGTTTCAGTGGAAAAAGATCCAAAGTTCTCAAGACAATGACAGTTTTCATAATCGAAAGCTTATTAGATGCCAAATCAAATTCAAAAGCGAATAGTAACTGCATCATAGTACTTTTGTTTAAAACCAAACAGATTTAACACACATCTAAACCATAGTAAACTGCATTCAGCTGGGTTGTCCCTTTAACTTCTGGTGTTTTACAGTGAATCCACACTAGGGAATTAATTAAAAAAAAAGAGAGGGTAAAGAACACATCCGTTAAGTTGCTCCTCTGTTAAGGAACACTAAGAGTTGGTGTGCAAGTCACCAAAGTCAAGACAAGGTGTTAGCTAGCAAGTTCCTAAGGGGGTAAAAAGAAATTTACTCGAGAAAGTCATCATTATACAAGCTTAACTTTAAAGCACTTTCAATGCAAACAAGAGACACCACGATTCCACTAACATGTCAACATGCATTTCTGAAACGGACTTGAATATCTGACTGTCTATGCTCGTAATTATTCATCATGGAGTAGTTTTTACACATCTGTAAGCTAAGAACCCAGCCAAACAAAAAAAAAGTTTGCAACTGAATTTTATTATTGGGAGCATATCCAAATAAAAAGAGAGTCATGTACTCACATACACACTGCATTAATGAGGAACCAAGCAGTGGAAAGCCGAAGAGGCCAATAATGTCTAATTCTGCTCGACATACGATTTAACGCTTTCCATCCATCTAACGTACTCAACTTTACTTTTGTTCTTCATATAACGATGCAAGAAAACAGCAAGCTCGTCACTTATACCCCTTTCCTCTAAAAACTGATAAAGAGCGTCTTGAAGCTCATCATCTAATTCCCTGTAATAACCAAAGACAAACACAATAACTTTATCTGTTAGCAATCCTATATCTCATATTTGTGTTATGTTGAAGAAAAGAACAGAGTCAGCGTACTCAAACTCTGGTCCACCGTAGGAAGAGGGTGAACTATTGGTGCCTTTACGAATGGAGAGCTTTGATATCTCAATGTTATCTGGCCAGGCGGAACACATGATCTCCAAGGATTCACCAGCAATGCCCTTAGAGATGTTGACAACGAAAGTGATGTGAAGAATAAACTCAGGTTCAGTGCTGGTGGATTTTGAAGTCGGAACTGATCTATCAAACATGGTTGCCTCAACTTTAATCTCTTCTTTCTCCCCATACTTCCTCTTCAAGCTAATCCACTGCTCTCCAGGCCGCTCCTCAACAGTAAATGGACCATAACTGCTAGGAGACTGAGAAACATATACAATCAAAATGATAAAATCCTCAAACTAGAGAGATAACATATAACTCTTATGCCAAGCTCAGATTCCAGGAAGGCTTAAAGTATATAGCTTTATTGCCAATTACCTGAAGAGGAGGGGAGTGGTTGAGTTCGTAATCGATCTCGTTACGGATGAGTCTGCAAATGTTTCCTTGGAAAGCTGATTTCTGCATTTCTGAGACGTAACTCCCCGAGCTTAGACATCTCCCGCTGATCAAAGAGTTTCGATTTTGATTCGAGGGTAAACCGATTGTAGGGTTCCGGTACGCAATCGAAGGGGACGAAATGGAGAAGACGGTTCTTCTCAGACAACTGACGAATCGAGCCATTGACAGAGATGAGAGTAGCAGTCACGATGATTTGGTAAACCTTAGGGTTTAACAGTTTTTAAGAGATTACATCGTACGGCTGGTATCGTTCTTTTTAGTATCGGAGAAAGTAATCCTCACCGTCGATTGTAATTAATAAAGTCAGAATACGATGTTTTAAGAGTTTCCATCGTACGGTAAATATCGCGCGTTCTTAGTTGAATTAATCTGGACCGTCAAAACATGATATTTTCGTAACTAAAAAATAATAATAATGGCGGCAAATGCGATTATCCCGCCCATCTCCGACCAATCAGGGATTTTTGTTGTTACTACATTTTCTAGGTCTTCTTTATAGTGCGAAGAGACACTTTCGTTCTTTCTCAATTCATTTACAATGGCGACGGAGTACGAGCGGAAGAGATTGGAGAACATAAGGCGTAACGATGAGATGATGGCTGCTCTCAACGTCCGAGCCAAAGCCTCTCTCCTCTCCGCCGCAACCAAACGCTCTCGAGACGAATCTAAATCGTTTAAGAAGAAGAAGAGCAAACCTGAAACGCCTATTGTTATGAGAAAGTCTCTACGCACAAGGGGCTTGGATCCGGATACCGTTGGTTTACCCGATTGGTTCTCGGACTATCCCAAACGTATGGCTTCTACTCCTCCTCCTTCAGCGCCTCTGCAGAAATCATCCGCTCGTTTATTGGCTCCTCTTCCATTTCATAAGGCTTATGATGGAGAGGGCTCTTGTAAGAAGTTTGTTGAGACTATGGTTAATGTTGATGTTGCAACGGTTAAGGATAATTGTAGTAGCAATAGGAGGAGATCTTCTCGCCTGTCTAATGTTAAGGAGGAACATGTTTTATCTCGTGAAAGAAATTTGGTTAAGGATGATTCTCCTATGATAAATGGTTATTTGAAGAAAGAAGTTGTTAAGGGTGAGAAGATTGAGTTTGATATGGAACATTTGAGTTTAGAATCGCATAACGTAGCACGTGTTGTTCCTGGGAGGATTTTTGTTGTTAAGTTCATGCCTTGCGAGAATGTTAAGCTCCTTGCTGCTGGGGACAAACTTGGCAATGTTGGTTTTTGGAATTTGGATTGTGGTGATGATGAAAATGATGGGATCTATATGTTCCATCCTCACACTTCCCCTGTTTCATCTCTTGTGTTTCAGCAAAACTCTTTCTCAAAGGTAAGCTTTCACTTTCTTGAAACTTTGGGTTTGAGAAAGTTATCTCTTTTTGTAATTCTCTTGTTGGTACAGGTTATTAGCAGCAGCTATGATGGTCTCATCCGGTTGATGGATGTTGAGAAGTCGGTTTTTGATCTCGTTTATTCCTGCGATGATGCTATATTCTCCCTCTCTCAGAGACCTAATGATGATCAAAGCTTCTATTTTTGTGAGGGATATGGAATGTTGAATGTATGGGACATCCGAGCAGGAAAGTCGAGTTTCAAATGGGATTTACATGAACATAGGATAAACTCTATAGATTTCAACCCGCAAAATCCCCATGTCATGGCTACAAGTTCCACAGATGGGAGTGCTTGCCTTTGGGACTTGAGAAGCATGGGATCTACAACACCTAAAACATTAAAGACTGTGAATCATTCTAGGGCCGTGCATTCTGCGTATTTCTCTCCTTCTGGTCTCTCACTTGCGACTACAAGGTATCTTATTTTACGTGGTCTAAAAAACTCATATCAGATGATGTTTGTTTCGTAGATATGCTCCACACTTTTTAAGATTCACCATCTCTCCGCGTTTTGGTACATAAGTTACACATACGTTAAAGAAAACCACTGCCTTACTTGAGTGTTTAAATCACTACTCATAACCTCTTAAAGTTTACCAACTTAGACATGGACAAACATGTGTATGGTGAAACTGATTTGCTAATGTTTTCTTTTAACTGTTCACTTTGATTTCTCTGTAGCGTTGACAACCATATTGGTATTCTAAGTGGCGTCAATTTCGAGGATACTTCCATGATATCTCACGACAATACCACCAACAGGTGGATCTCTACTTTCAGGTATTGCTCCACACCTTAATAAGCTCTCAGTTCCAATACACTTTTTTTCTTCAGTACTTGGGTTTACGATCCCAAAATTATAATTGCTACAAGTCTTTCTCTATTCCTGTAGGCAGGCATTGCTCTCATCATCTGTTTTTGATTTGCAGGGGAGTGTGGGGGTGGGATGATTCATACATCTTTGTAGCCAATCGTTCGTCAAAAGGAGTTGATGTGATCTCAACGAAACTGAAGAGAACAGTAAAGGAATTGCAAGACCCTCTTATGAAAGCTATTCCTTGCAGACTCCATTGCCATCCTCTCAATGTTGGGGTGCTTGCTGGATCCACTGCAGGAGGACAGGTCTATGTTTGGACACCGAAGTAGCATATACTTAACCATTTTTCAATCAGCAGGAAGTGTTGTTTGGTTTTGTTATGTCGGACAGAAATGTTATTTGTTTAGTTCTAACAACTTAAAAGTGAAATTAATCCTTGCGTTTACGTAATCATCCTCAAGTGAGTAAGCAAAACAAGAGAATTTCATCGACTACTGCATTAGTTCCAGAGAAAACAATAAAACCACCATAATAAGAGTATATCCTTCTTCATCTACCACCTAAGTTTCCTTTCTAATAATATCACCGAGGCCTAGGAGAATCCACATTTGTTTGGTTCTCACCTGGCTTCTGTACATTATTGCCCTTGTGTTCAACATTGTTCGGTTTCGATTCTTCTTTAGGTGGGAGTTTAGTAGATTGATCTCCTTGTGTTTTGGTTGGAGCATTCCCTGAAGGTTTCTTTGCATCCAAAGCAATCTCTTTTATTGTCTCTTCCATTTTTTCCAGTCTCTTTTTCATCTCCATTAGCTCATCCTGAGACTTGGTTGCTGCTTCTTCTTCTATGGCCTTCTTTTCAGCTTCTTCTTTCTCTTTCTTTTCATCTTCTTTCTTCTTCTTCTCCCCAAGTTCCTGAAAATATAAAGCAACATTGGCCAAAAACGATGAACATGGAGACAGAACATTTAAAACACATCAAGTTTGAAAATGAACAAGAAATGGAAACTGACAGCGTCCATGATCTTCATTTTACGGCGAGCATATTGAGCAACCAGATACACAGCTGTTACAAGGAAAAGAAACAAAGCACATCCTTAACAGAAACACTGACCATAACAATGAGGGGAGATACTGAAAGGGGCTTAACCGAAACAATACCTAGAGAGGGCATGCAGACGATAATGAATTGCACAATATGCCAGTCAAGCCTAACACACACAAGTAACACCCACGCCATACTAATCAGCACAAGAACTCAACTTACTACTTTCAAGAGATTGTTTCAGAACATCAACTAGATAATAGTTGAAAACAATGTTCTTTCCACTTTTGAGTCAACCTAAAGACAGCTAACACATTTCACAGTTCTAAAATTTGAGAGCTTTTAAAGTACCCAAATTTATTCTTCTTTGGTGGTTCAGTGAACAAGATCTTCGCAGCTGTCACGAAATCAAGCTTATCGAGTTTCTTGTACGTCTCATCGTAACGAGAAACAACATTGGATTCAGGTTCGCTGTACTGAGCGACACTTGATTCCGTCTTCTCCGGTTTCTTCTCCCCTTTACTGCAGAGACGTCGGATCCTATAGTGTTTCAACCGGGTCGACAATCCGACCCACGAGCCTCTGCCGCGAAGCATCTTGACTTCTCTCCGGCGACTACAGCTCCACTACGACGACTCTGCCACTCGCGCAATTCTCTAAACTAATGCCCCGAGGCTAATGTGTTTCCGGGTTACCCGAATAGAACTGGGTCTCAAGTTGCGGTTGATCACTTATACCAACCGGGTCTGATACAATTTTTTTTTTTAAATAAATATAAACCGGTTATTAGATCTTAATGAAGTTGTGATCTAGGATCTAATCAAAACCATGGCTTAAACTATATTTATAAATAAACCTAGCAAGGAATGACACACAGTATCTTTGTCAATATTTTTTCCCATAGTCTCTTTCACTTTGCCTCTTTTTCCAGCTTTGGTGACTGTTTGTAGGCTAAGATGTGGACCTCTTTTTCTCAATTAATATTCTAATAATTTTATTATATTAGGGAAACGTATTCTTTTGAATTTAACCAAGGCAAATTAGTGGCATGCCTCAACACATTTCATTTTTTTTGTTGCAAGATAGAGAAAGTTGAACTTTTCGTACATCTCTTTTCGTTTATAGTATTTAAAACATCTTACACATTATTATATAACTATAGTTAAAAAATATATATTTAAAATTTGTTTGCTGTCCAGAAAATAGCAAATGCTTTTAACAGAAAATTGATTGACTAAAGAATACTAAGGCAGATTATTATTGTTTTTGGTGGCATTACATTTCAATAAATACTCATAGGACTCCTTTATTTTCCCACAAATCGTTAATTGTGTACTAACACACACTTTTGCACCATAATTAGCCGCACTACTTAATTTAAAATGATTACTCCATTTCAAGTCAATTTGAAAGGGGAAAAAGGGTGGTCTCGAGACAAAAGTTGAGCCAAAGATAACGAATATTAAGCTTTATATTGGACCCCATAATAAACTGTGAATTATTAAAGCATCATTCCGCCAAAAATATTAATTTAATTTTTTAGGCAAACGATTGAATAACAAAACAATTCTTGTAACTGAGCCGTTTATGAAAGAAAAAAAAAACATAACATGGCAAGTGAAAATAAAGTAAAGAAAACGTATTTAGTTTATGGAAGTAAATATGATTAGGCATTGTTTATTCAAGATTCTCAAAAACCAATGCTTGTTCTCCTTCCTTCAACTTCTTATTAATCGAAAAGTGTAAACATAATTAGCATTGGAAATCTCAAAAGACGAGTCCTCGGCATTTTACGTTAAAGTGGAAAGGGTAAATAAATTGTCATCAACTCCGACAGTTTTATATAGAAACGTATCTTCTTTCATCTCAAGAACTTTCGTCCGGCCGCTCTCTGCCGCCGGCGATACTCTCTCTCTCTCTCTCCTCTCTCTTTCTCTCTCCGGCGGTCAAAGAAGTCTGAGGAATGGCGTTGAATCTTTACTGGTAAGCGTTTAAACTTTAAAAAGAAAGAAAGGAGAGGGAAGAAGTGAAAATGCTGTGCCGGAGAAACTCAAGTTTTGTGGATAGAGGAAACGTTCCTGTTTATCTGAATGTATACGATCTAACTCCCATCAATGGCTATGCTTACTGGTTTGGTCTTGGCGTTTACCATTCTGGTGTTGAAGGTTTGTCTTTTTTTTGATTCTTGAGTTTTAGAGTCTCTTCAAACTTTATTTTCCACATGGATATACAGGTTATAGATCTGAAAAGTGATTTCAATATTACAGCTTGTATCATTTTAGATCGAAGTTTCTTGGGATTTGAAGTTAGTTCCTCGTTTAAATTCAAAAGTGTTGGCTTTCAATTTTCAAGAACTTAGACTTGCGAATTAAAAAAAATCTTCTTTTTGTATTTAGTTCATGGTATAGAGTATGCTTATGGAGCTCATGAATATCCAAGTACGGGGATTTTCGAAGGGGAACCGAAGCAATGCGAAGGGTTTACGTTTAGGAAATCGATATTGATTGGTAAAACGGATCTTGGGCCATTGGAAGTGAGAAGTACGATGGAGGAACTTTCAGAGATATATAAAGGGAGTTCTTACAATCTCATCACCAAGAACTGCAACCATTTCTGCGATGAGATTTGTATTAAGTTAACCGGGAATCCAATTCCTAGCTGGATTAACCGTCTTGCAAGAATCGGTAAACTCTCTGGTAACACTCCTTTTAAATCTTTTTACATTTTATTTATAGACTGAGAGTCAAAAGAAGTTAATAATAGTTGTGTTCTGCAAGCGAGTATTGTGATGCTATTGCTAATATTCAATAGTGGCCTTTTAAAGTATTAATTAGCCTTTGGTTACAATGTAGACTAAAATGTGAACTAAGTTTTAGCTTGAAAGATTCCATTTTATGCTTAAGATCCAAGTTCAGCTTCTGGGTTTACTTGAGATATACGTTTTCTGATCGATAAGAACAGCTTGGGAGCTAAAACATGACTTGGGCTTGGCATCTTTATGCATTTTGGGAAGGACTCTGTTTCTGAATAGCTCTGTTTTTAAAATCTTAGGATTCATGTGCAACTGTGTGCTTCCTGCGACCATAAACGCGACCAAGCTTGGGAATAACAGAATCAATCAAGACAAATCATGTGAGGCAGAATCTGAGAAGAAGAAACTGACGAGTGGATCGAGCAGAGAGAGCTCTACGACGATTGATACTCCTTCTTCATCATCTTCATCTCCTTCAGTTCAAGTTCGTGGTCGAAGCAGGAAAAGGCGTCCTCGTGCCATGCATCCTTCATCGCCAGTGATTCTTGGATCTTCCACCGTTTGATTTTTGCTTTGTTGTTAAACAAAAGCCTTTCTTAATCTCGTCTTTTCTGTTTCTTTCCCTAATTGTGGTTGTGCTTTGTAATCTTGTTAATATACAAACCTTTTTTTCTTTCTGTAATCTTATTTACTCTTTCGTTTCAGTTTTTGGATATAATTTCTATACAACTAGATTTTATACTCGCGCTACGCGCGAGTCTGTTTTAATAATTTAGTTTATTTAAAATAACTTAAAACTAAAATATTAATTGAGTAATATAATTTTCTTATTTAAAATATAATCTTTAATTTAGTATTTATGTTTTCTTATAATTATGTTATCTTATTAGCTATTTAGTTATTTGTATTTGTAAATATAATAATTATGTTTCTAAACATATTCATATTTTTTGGAAATATTAATTTATATTTTAAAATAT